TGCTCGGCTCTGGCCAGTACGAAGAACCCTGAATCCTTACTGCCCTGGCGGGACCCGCAGCAATGGTACCATACGTATGGGTGACGTTCAGTCAGTAGCTGCGAAGCCCACCCAGACGTGGACTGAGCGAACCAATCGCGCTGCCTCAGGCATGGTTCACCATCTCCTGTGCCTCATCTGTCTTCGTAGTAGCAGGCTGTGTCTAATCGTACCAGCAGTCTCACGAGCCAACGGAGGACAACAACATCCCTGTACTGCCGCAGTAACTAGTGATAACTACTCGGCTACCTGTTCAGCAGTACTTAGTAAGTTCACGAACTGAGTGCACGGTATGCGCCGCACGCACCCAAATCACAGTATCACTACAGTACTTCGAACACCAACAGTGCTATAGCAATACTAGGCCTATCAATACAGGCCAAAGGAATCCAGCGGCAGCTGGTCGTGGCATCCACGCGAAGTAGACAAAGGTTTCTTCCCTCAGTCATTGCCTCTCAGAAGGCGAGCTTGGTACGCCTGCTTCACCAACTCTTGAGGTAAGGGTAATCTTCCTTTCTCTCTACGACCATATTAGTCCGTCTCACATGACCATGTTCGTCCAAAAACAACGGTCTCCTTCATGTAGGATGATGATCGTAGACGTAGTGTGCTCCCACCTATAACGACGACGCAACAGTGACCAGTTTGTGGCGAGTCCCTTCGAAGGGAACTCATTATCGTTCGATCCGATTAGTCCTTCGTCCCTTAAAACTCGATGAGCAATTAATTCCCTTCGTCGGCTTCGCAGTGCGCGCACCCGCCGTTGTGCCCGACTTTCCTCCCCTTTCTGCACCCGAGCATCCGATCTTCGCTACCTTCTCCCCTACTTCTCACGACTACCCATAGGTACGTGTACTTCCTCTTCCTACTTCTACTCCAATCGCGCCCTGTCTACGCATATCGTTGTATAGTAACTCTTTATGCGTGACTGTATCTGACCGCTCGTATGGCCAGATTCATAAGAATCGGCGATGTCCACGTTATAGGAAAAGAGACCACCCTGCGGCAGAGGCTGCCGAGCGAAAATCATACCACGGCTTCGAGAAGAGACGCTTTTGTAGTCGATATGGGAAAGAGCCCCATGAACACGATGGCGAAGAAAAACGTGATGTGAACGAAGATGGTCGTCGGAACTCAGCTCCCTGTTCCTGGCCATGACGACAGGCACCGCATTCTCTACGCAAAAAAAAACACCACATTGTTGAGCCGGTTCGTGATGTTAGCTGCCACGTCCTACTACTCGTCAACTGTACAAAGATGAAGAACGAACCTCCCTTCAAAACATAGGAAAATTCATCCCTCGCTCTCGCTCACCTTCGCTCCTCCGCGCAGCTCCATTCCCACGTAGCACACAACCTACTAACTAAGTCAGAAATCCGGACTTACCACCGAATTCGCCCTGCTATAAAACCCCGGATTTGGTCCTTCCCTCACTCGATTTCATAAAGAAACGAGTGAGTTATACACTCTTTCCTCTTTCTCCACCCGCCATCTCCACCATCTCCACGCACGAGACTTTTCACTATTCCCCTCCTATGCTAATCCACCCACCATTCTAACTCTACTATTCGTCTCGCCCTGTCAAAGATCCCTTATTTCCTATCTTCCCTTGCCTAAAGCGGAATCCGATTGGGCGAGTTACGAGCTCAGCCCTCCGCCATAGTCACTTTGCCCATACTCTGCACGCACCTGTTGTGGGAACCCGTCCAGGTTCATTCTGTCTCTTTAGCCCCATCTGCTGGCCCCGCCTTCTCCCTGCTCGCTCTCATAGTGCAGCGCTCATCGCAGCAACGGCGACCACTATGTACCACACGGGAAACAAAACTCGTTGGGTTGTCCCCCCCCCGACTTTATGCATGTTGTCCTTGCGTAGGGGCCATGCTAATCTTCTCTGTATCATTTCAATTTTAACGGATGTCCCGAAGGACTGAGCCACAGGGAGAGACCCAGGATCGACGGGTCGGCTGCCTCGATGGTCTCGGACCCACGTCTGTACCTCCACAGTTCAGTGGTGTATCCACTGAACTATGTTCTTGTGTTACGGCCGGACCTGGCGCCACTGCCTGGCCTCGCTCCTGATGAAAAAAAAAGGAAAAAGTACTTGTAATAATAATAATAATAATAAAGAGGTAAGGATAATAATAATAAAAGCAAAAAAAAAAAACGGATTGGGGGGGGGGAACCGTTGGTATTCGGTCYTRCCCCACGGGSCCGCTGCCGGACTCCCCTGCAAAAAGCCAAGGGGGATAGTCCCGCGGGACCCTCAACCCCTCGGCTCACTCCGACGCGCTCCTCCGCTGCTCCGCTGCTCCGTTCTGGCCTCGATCCCGGGATCCGCGTGGTGAGAGTTCAGTGTCGTAACCTATAGGGCTAAGCCCAAGCCTGAGTTGGTGGTGTGTTGCCTTGCATATGAATAGTATGGCCAGTCAGCTTGGGCCTGCAAACGGTATCTTAGGCCGTTCTTCCCACTTACGGCCTGTGTCCATGGCTCCGTAAGGCCGTACTTGGTTGCCTTGAAGGCATGGCTCCGCTGGCCTACCACATGTGCCTGCTCAACCATGGTAGGGTTGCGGTTCGAGCTTCCCCTAGCCCACTACAAATGCCTTTTTACCGCCTCTGTGCCAAGGAAACCCCGCCCGTTGCTCTACTTTGTGCCATCCTTGCTTGACATCCGCGACGACTTCTATTATCGCCGGTGCAGAGCCATCCTAGTGCCCTACGCCGGTCCCCAGCAAGTCAGACGACCTACCTGGTCAATGCGACGCCACTTGTAACTTTGCCCGTGCGTGCGAGGCTGCGACCTCCTCAGACTTTCTAGCGTGACACTCACTTGTCCTGCCGCCGCCTCATAGTCTTGCTTGGTCAATCGCTTGGTCTGGCTAACGCATGCCCACAAAGTGCATGCTCACGCACTCTCTAATCAATACAAAAGGGATGCGCCCCTAGATATCATCAGAAACGTTCTTCCTGTAAGTTGCAAAAATGCGCCCAAATACCCTTGTAAGGGTGTTCGGGTCGATAGTTTTCCGGACCTTATTAGGCGACGTCCCCGTCGTGTTGGATAATCAAAGTTATAACCACAATCACACTTTGCTGACAAGGAAACGACCAATCCGATTCACCGGCTCGACTCCGTTCGAGGTTGTCTTATCAATCTGCCCCCGTCACGTCGTTCCTCTGCCAGGGTTTCAACTTGGGTCTCCCACGTCCTGGCCTCGGAGTTAGGGGATACTTTGTTTCGTACTACAGCGTACTACCCGCTCCCAGGTAGTAGGTTGATAGTCCTCTTCCTTCGTCGTAGACATCTGCCGGTCCACCGTTGGGTGTCCTGTTTAGTCATCGTCCCGCGTACAGGGTCATAACTTATGACGCGGACCCTAACCGAGACCTCTCAAAATACACAGGGCACCTTTAGTCCCCAAATGGTAATGCTTATCATCTCGATATCCAATCATAATGAACGCTCATCCTGGAATCTAACACAGGTGGCTTCAGGTTTCCATCGTGGTCCACCATGGAACGGTCGATCACGCCGAATCCACGGCCCACCGCATTGTTATGTAGCGGTGGTGCCCTTGTTGGTTACGCAACGATAAGCAACTTTTCCTATCTTGGTACCCCGAAGGGTCCCGACTCTTGACTTAATCAACCCCAATAACCTTCCCTCTAGCTAAACCTCTATGGGCGGTCGACCCTTCAAGACTTAACCTTTGGTAAGCCATGGTCCCGCCGCCAGGTTGCGCCGGTCAGCGGCCCTCGCTGGGAGTTAGGTTCTACAGTTCCAGCGATGTTAAGTATAGTCCCTTAGCTTGGCCTCACAAATACGTCCCTTAGATTGACTTCATTGTGGTCTGACACTTTCTTTCAAAAATTCTTTTGAATACACAAAGGGTCATTAACCCACTGCCCACGGGACTACGCGGAGGGATAGTGCCTTTCTCAACCATTCCAACAATTATCCTCAGTGATTCCACAGGGTCGTGCCTTCCTTACTCCGATCAAAAGCAGGTAAGGTCACACGTCTTTTAGGGATACTCACAATACTTTCCAAAGTTTCATCATAATTGCAAGAAATTTTCATCCGTTATTCTCACAAAATATATGGTCTTCCATTGTCAGACTTTTACATACACACAAATATTTTATTATCTTTATAGCAGCTCCTTTGAGTGCTCTTACAAATTTCATCCTTTGAAGAAAGTCCAATCGGCCATTGGACTTCCCTCTCTCTTTCCCAAGTCACACATAAAAAACACAACTTTGGTTGTGACCTTTCCATTCATCCTCATTCCATCTGGATAAAACACATCATGTCATCTCTTTCTCAAAAACCTGAGAGCACTTTCTCCTATTGTACTTTGGGCTCCACTTATCATTGGGGACAAGGATGCGCAAGTACAGCAGAAGAATGCACAGATCTGTTCACTTCACAACATTTACTCCATCACACCATCATCCATATGGGCAAGTCCACAACTAAGAGTGAGTGTGACACACCATACCCAATAAAAAGATAAGGTTTGAGACTCACATACAAGATATGTGGCCCTGCAATAAGCAAAGGCTCCTGTCCTTATTGAGGATCAAAGTAGTGAACAAAGAGTTTAAATATCCAACACAGGATCACAGTATCCAACAAAGAATCAGGGTATCCAAATGCCAATATATCAAAAATCCGACAGTCACTCCATACTCAGGAGCGTCACTCTGCTCTAGAGGATAAGTGACCCATAACTCTACACAGAGGTACTAACACTCCACACCACACTAGCAAAAAAAAAAAAAGAGAAAAATAGTCAAAATTATACATAGTGTTATCTTACGTACGAAAAACCTATAAGTCTATAACGCGAAAGTAGATATCTCATTACTGGCTCAAATTGTTAATGTACATGGGTCTGATCCAATCCTCCATGTATCCCTCTATACACAAGTAATCATCAGTCAGAGGGTCAAAGATGTCTCGCGTATACCAGATTCGGTCCTTTCCGGACCATATTAGAAAATCCTACTCCTGATCACCCGTGACCTCCTGCAGTTGCCTATACAACTGCGCCCTCACCCCATCACGAGTCTTAGGTACCAGGACTCCATTTCTATCTCTCCACACTCCATATGACTCTCTGATAGCCATCCCATTTGCCTCGTCCTTGAGGCTCTTGGGGCAGTCATCAGATCGATGCTTGCCCTTCTTGCAATAAAAGCATTTGCCAACCTTCTTCTGCGACATCTTGTCTCCTTCCTGCGAAGGTACTGATGACGGGACTGTTGAGATCTTGCTCGTGACTTCCTGCTGAGGGACCTCTGGGGAAGTGGGGCATGTCGCTCTGTCATCTGCTTGCATCACCTGCTCGTCGACACGTCCCTCTGGCCCCGAACCAGTGGCCCAAGATCCCAATGCGTCCCGCAAACCTGCCACCAGAGACATATCCTGAGGTACAGCCGAGTTCTGACATCCCTTCAAGTCCACTCTCGGCTCAGTCTCAACCATGGTCTGGCCCACGCTCTCCTGACCCTCCTGTCGTCCCATGGTCTCTCCCTGAGTTGTATGTAGAACTGTCTCAACTCTCACTGCCTCGGCTGGTGGTCTTTCTTCTGGCCTCGCCGACTCTTGTCCAAGCGTCAGGCCAGCCGACATCCTCCACTCAAACCCTCCGACCTCTGAGTCTCTCTCATCCAGTGTCTCTTGCGGCTCCAACATCTCTTTGTCTATTAGGGGAATCTCCTCACCCTCCTGCTGGTCCGCCTTTTCTTCTTCTTTGTGACATTTGAAGGTTTCTGCTGCAGGTCGTTCCCTGATCTCAAATGCTTGGACCTCTGTTCAATCCACCACTGCAGTCGGGGCCTGTCGCGTACACTTGGTCTCAAGGTCTTGTATCCTCTTCCCCCACTCAGCCTCCTTTGCCTGGAAGGAGACCTGTTGTGCTTGGAGATAGGCCCTCAGAACGTCATCGACCTTATTAAGGGTCTGGTTGACTTGCCTGACGGCCTCGTTCTCTGCCCAAACCTTCTCCATATCTACTCTCACTGCCTCCATCTCTTTGTTCAACCTTCCCAATTCCTTCTCCAAATCTTCAATCTCTCTTTCTCATTCAACCTTCTGGCCATATACCTTTTGTGCCACTTTCATCAGCTTCTCTCCAACCTTCTGATATGAAGCTCTGGCCGCTGCAAAGCCTTCCTTCATCATGCCCCTCAGGTTGAGTAGGTCTGTAGAGACCAACTTGACCCCCATCTTCTGATGATGCCCTTCATACATTCCTGCAGCATCCATCAGCTTAACAAAGCTGACCCATACCTCTGAGAATAGGGGAAGGTCCTCCTCCTGAGTGCAAGTGTCATTTCCACTCTTGTCATCCACCTCCTCAGGCTCTTTCCCCTGCTGCATCCTCTTATGCAGCTCAACAAGGTTCTTCATCCTGAGTTGAACCTTGATCTCCTGATCCCTTGTCGCCCTCTCTTTCCTGTCCAGTTCCTTCTCCTGGGGACATTGCTCTTCCTTGTGCTCCTGCACATGTGGCTCATGAGGTATGTCTGGCTCTATGTCTGACATAGGACAGTCCACTTCCATCTGAGCAGGCTGTGGAGGCACTCCTGGACCACCTAACTCTCCTTCTCTTTCGTGCCTATGGGATCTGTGCTCCTTCCTCCTGTCCTTCCTCTGAGTCGCTGAAGACATGCCCTGCTCAAAAGTCATTCTTTCAGCCACCTCTGGCTCCCTCCTTCTCTTTTTCAGACTCCTTCGTTCACCTGCCTAACGTGCCGAAGTATAGTAATTCCACAGCAACTTCTTGCAATGTCCCCAACTCATAGCAGGTGTCACGATAGATCTGACAAATGACCTGATGTGTCGCCTCACGTACAGGAGAAAGCTTCCCATCCTCTGCTCTCCTGAGATATCGAGCTCATCCGCATATCGGTCGTAGGCCCATAGGAATTCCCCCAAATTATTGGAGTCAAACCGAATGGGCTGTCCATCTCTTCCCATTGGCGATGGGTGCAAACCCTCCATCTTCCTTTCAAACTCCTACAAGGCTAGCGACTCCCTGACAAGGTTGGCAATAGGGTTTGTCCACTCGCCTGCGCCTCACACCTCTCTCAGCATCCTGGTGCCATCCCAACCTAACTCCCGTGCATGCCTTTCGAACTCAATCAGGAACAACTCAATGTTCCCTCCCTGGAAAACTGGAGGTTTGTCCTCTCTCCCGGCCTCCATCCGCGCCCTCTGTCTGGTCGCCCCAAGAGGGGTTTCAACTGGCTCGGCCTCTCCCCTCCCTCTTGGCATGGCTGCCCCAAACGGTGTCAAGCCTGCACAATAAGGAGGAGACAAACAAGAGCACACAGAGGGTAAGCAGGTTGGGTAGGCACAACAGGAGACAAACATAGCCCTCCCACAACTATCCCAGCTATCTGTCTATCCATATAAATGCACACATACACACATGATTCCAACCAAAGAGGCTACAACCTATCACGCTATTCTACCAATGTTTCTATATAAAGTGCTCAGAGAGTGACTCTAACTGGTGCAGTCCATGCTCACCTCGTCTCGAGCCACGACCTTCTTCAGCCTCGAGCCTGACACCCAGTCTTTCCATGTCGTCCCATTTAACTCCTCAATCTGGTAGGCTCCGTGTTCACCACACCTGGTGACCCTGTACGGCCCCTACCATCTCTTGTCCAGCTTCCGTGACCACTGCTTCTCCTGGGATGAGTGGTACAGTAGCACAACGTCTCCCACCTTGAGGGGTTCCTTCCTTACCTTTGCCATCTTGTGCCACCTGAACTTGTCCTTGCTACGGTTGGCCGCCACTCTACTTGCCGCTCCCTCAATTCTGTCCTCTATAGCGCCAATCTGACGTGCTCTTAAATCCAGCAGTTCCTCAAAGGTCTGATCAGTCTCGAGGTCTTGCCGCCTCCAGGTCTTTAGGAAGCTCTCGATAGGAAACGTAGCGTGTTTGTCATATCATAGTGTAGCCCGCGCGTAGCCGGTGCTTCTCCTGACGATGATATTATCCACGAAGAAAGTGACTCTCAGGAAGTTCGGCCACTGATTGGGTATGCTGTCAGTCCACTTGGCGAGAAAATTTGTGATGGTGCTATGTCCTTTTTCCACCGGTGCATTAGCTTGGGGATGCGCTGCAGTAGTGTACTCGACGATTACCCCATACTTCTTCAAAAGAGTCTTCACTTCTGCACAGTTGAACTCGGACCCTGTATCCATCACAAACATGGAGACAAAGGGGTAACGCAGGTAATACTCTTCGATGCATTGGGCCAGCGTCTCCCCAGTCTTCGTGCGAATGACCCTGCCATCTATAAATCCTGAGAGGTTGTCCCGCGCATCAAAGATAAAGATATAACTCCCTATTCCCAGTGGCATTGCCAACAAATCGAGGTGCACGACCGCTCCAACTTCACGAACATACCTTGGGTGAAGCGGCTCCCTAGGCCTAAGGGAGGATCGCTCCTGACACGGTATACAAGATTTACAATAATCGTCGATCATCTGTCTCATGCCATCCCAATACTAGTACAGCTCATGTATCTTGAGGTATGTCGTATCCGTGCTTCTGTGACCACCCGCCGTACCATCGTGTAGTGCTGCCATAACGTCAATCTAGCGAGCGACGCCGCAAGCATCCCTTTCCCTCATCTCACACGACAGAAGCATTCCCAGTTCGAGGTATACTCCTTCATATTCCTCTGCTCGAAACGCTTCCCTAATCTCTCCTTCTTCAAAGTCATCATCTTCCCTCTCGTGGATCACATTGTCACCCTCTTCCTGATCTGCCACCTCTTCCTGATCTAATACCGTATCCCTGACCGCCTCTTCCTGAAGCAATGCATTCACCAATAAATACATCCCACCTATCACTTTCTCGTGCTTGAGCACCTGCACCGCCTCATCCTTAATCGTGAGCAAGTCCTCATGCAGTTGGTACTTGCTTGCCAAGACCAGCTCCATCATCCAGTCCACACCTGGCATTCCCCAAGAGTCTTCTTCGATTTAGGGCTTGAGGATTAGGTCTGGTCGTCGTACATGTCCTGGTGGCGCAAGCCACACAGGTCGCCCAGGAGTAACATAGTTATCCACGACCATTGACCAGGAGTTGATGTGAAGTCTCACATCCTCCTCGCTATCCAGGGACCCGTCAACTGGTGGAGCATCCTCAACCACTCCTTGGTTGTTCCTGTCCCAGTCGACTCGACTCAGCCTGTCCGCTCTATTCTTGTTCCCCGTAATTCGTTCCAACTCAAAGTCGGACATCCAGATGTACGTTAGCCACCTGACAATGGTCGGATCCGACGGAGCGAAATTCTTAAGAGAACCAGCTACAGCAGTAGGGTCCACCCTCAATACAAACCTGCTGCCGAAGAGGTAGTTTCTGAAAATCCTTAAACAGTGAAGAACTGCCAAGGTCTCGCGCTTAAACTTGGAGTAGTTCCTCTCAGCTGTGTTAAGCGTCCTACTTTCAAACCTTAATGGTCGTCCCTCTCCATTAGGATCTTGTGGAATTAATACACCTCCTAAAGCAGTTGGCCCCGCATCCGTTTCCACAATAAAAGGTCTGGTCATCACAGCTGCGTGATCTAGTACCCCCAATACTAGATCTCCTTCCTCAAACTCTTTCATCAGACCTTCTATTACCGATTCTTGCTTATCTCCCCATTCCCAATTTTGGCCCTGCTCAGTCTTTGCCGCAAACCCCTTTATAAAGATCCTCCAAAATCCGCACGTGCCCAAGAAGCTCCTCACTTCCATGATAGTCTCGAACGGTGTTGGTCATTCGAGAATCTTGTTGGTCTTCTTAGTATCTGGCCAACGACCACTCTCGCCGCACACAAATTCTAAGATAGTGGCTCCGCTCATGCAGTGCCTCGACTTTGGCCCACTGGCAGTAAGGTTATGCTCCTTTAGTAGGTCCAGGTCCTTGCACAAGTCTTGCACATGATCCCAGACAAAACGCCTAATTTTCGACATCACCTCCTGCTCATCTTTTTCCTTAGGCCCCTTCATGGTCAGATCATCAATATAGGGTTGCGTAATGTGAGGACTTATGGGTTGCATGACCCTCACCATGTGCCTCTGGACCATGGTAACCTCGTTCGTCCACCCTTGCGATGCGACGTTCATGTGGATCAACCCTCGAGGGGTATGCATAGCCGTCATAGGCATGTCAGATGGGTATACATGAAATTGGTCGTAACCTGAATATAAATCTATGAGAGATATAATAATCCTCTCAGCGCAGACTTCTGAAAGCGCATCCTCGTTGGGGAGACCACATGCGTCCCTCACTGACACAGCGTTCAGGCGTTGCAAATCATGTACCCACCTCAACGTCCTATTGGGTTTGACAAAGTAAAACCAGGGGGATGCATATGATCCACTCGAGTAGTTTGTCACATGTGTGCGGATTTTCCCATCAAGGTATTTAACTCCTTCTCTTCATCAGTTGGATTAGGATACTGCGCACCTCGCAAGTTCCATGGCTCGTGAGGCACGGTATGTATCCTAATCATCGGGATTATATCCACATCCAGGCGAGCTCTTTCATCATCACTGAAGGCATATGCAGCGTGCCTTCCTCTTATGGTTTCCACCACAAGCTTCTCTTCCTACACTGTAAGGAAGCCAGACTTTCCTATAATCAGCGCCTTCTCTGTCTCAGGGGTGATACGACATGACTCATTTTCTGCATTTTCTCTGTCGTATTAACTCTCGTTCCCGATCGTAGTAAACTTCTTGCTCTTCGGCGATGAGTACGGGAACAGGGCGATACTTCTGATCTACCTTTTTGTACCGCCTTTGTGCCCCCTGCTTGAGCCCACCCCTAAAAAAGGCCAAGTTGCGCTCTGGGGCTGTGTTCCAATTGCTCCGCCTGTCTGTCCCGACGTTTGATATATCAATTTCATCTCTCCGGCTCCCATCTGTTCTACCACCTCTTCTCTCAAGGCTTCCACAGCCTTTGGGTCTGTCATCCCATAGGTGGACACTATATCCATAGTATCACCTATGTTCGCTAGGCTAAGGGTCAGTGCCTCTGACCCTCTTTCCTCTTTGAACCTGCTGCCTTCCAATATCAACGTCCCCTCTTCTGATTCTTCCATCGTGAAAGAACCAGGGTTGGGCCGGTTCCTTATACTCCTATGCCCTATGTTCTTACACGTTATGACCTCATAGTTCGCGCATACTGGATCGCACAGAACGAGGAACATAGTTCCGTCATGCTTGTTGAGTATGACGGCCTCCGTTCAGCTTAAGAACGACCAACCAAGTAGAATAGTGTGGTCAAGATCAGGCATCACAAAAAAACAACTCCTACTTTCACTTTCCCTATCTCCAGGATCACTGATGATGCGGTCCCTATGAACACCGATCGACTATTTACCCCCATCAGGACCCCATTATCAGAGCGATCTATCTCCATCTTGAGACGCAAAGCATGCTCCTCCTTTATAAGGTTCATCTCCGCGCCACTGTCCACCATCGTTGTGCACATCTTCCCCTTCACCACTACATCTAGGCACCCACATGCCACAGACCTCCAATCCATCTTAGTTTCGGTCTCAGCCCACTCTGCCTCTTTAGGGATTATGGTCCTTAATCGTACACTGGTCACCATCTTTCTAGACAGTCGCGCTTTCAGCTCATCCCTGAGTCTTGGCGCCGAAGCCAGGACGTCGTTCAGGTTCATGAGGTGATTATGGCCCTTAAGGATCCTGTCTATGATCTCCTCTACGTCACATCCTTCCTCTACTCAGATAGCGTACTTCTTTTTCTTTACCGCTGAGGCCTTATCCGTATCAGGCTTGGCGCCCCTCTTTTTGACTCTTTGCTCAACCTTCTCATCCTCTTCTTTCCTCAGCCTATCGTCCTCATCATGCTCTCCCTCTGGAACATCCACAACCTCTTTTTCCCCAAGGGGCTCAGGAACATCCTTCGCCGGCTCCTTGGGGCTCACCGGCCCCTTGGCCCTTGTCCTGACAGCATGTGTTACCCTCCCCGTCCTAGAGGGTGGCCTATAAGCCATGTCGGACCGAGGCGCCGGTCCTGAAGTCGTGACGCCTGGTAAACTTCCAGATCCACCTTGTGATCCTGGACCCATATCATAGAGGTACACCAGCGGCTCCTTACCTCTCCACTCCTCAACCATTGTACACATATCGGTAAGTTTTTGTTGGTACCTCCCGACTTTAGCAACTAAGTCCTTCATCCTCTCCATTGTCTGTCGGGTTTCCCTCCAGCAGTCTTCTCCTATCTTTGCGTGTTGTGGCTCGTTCCAGTAGTCCTCCTCTATCTCGTCATCCGATTCCACTATAATCGGCTCTTCCTTGATGGTGCCGACTTTCCGTCCTTGCTCCACTTCCTCGTTTTTTTCTACCTCTTCCACCTTGATGTCGCAGCGGACCTCTTTCTCTTGCCACATCCGGAACGTAGCCGGAGGAGCAGGTGGCGCGTCGGCCTCCACTCTTCGTAAGGCCTCCTTCCTCGTTCCGCCAGGGATCTTCGGGTCAAGGTAATGCCCAAATTTGTCGTACATGTCCCCATCATAGTTGGTGCTGATTAATCCTTCGTCTTCATCGTTCCTTCGAACATGGCAGAACTTGATGGTATGGCCTTTCTGCCCGCAATGACAACAAATGACATTCCTCCAATCTATTCTTCCTCTGCCATATTCGCGTCCACCTTCTTGGTTGCCCTGGCTTCCTGACGCATTTCAGTCCCCATTACCTCCTCCTGTGGAATTACCGCCACCATTTCCCCGGTTGTTGCCTCCACGGCCACCGTTTTCTCGCCCTCGGCCCCACCCTTGGTTTTGTCCGCGTCCACCACCCTGATTTCCTTGCGATCCTTGTGGGGCCGACTGTTGAGGTTGACTAGGTTGTGGGTTTGGGTGGCTTACTTGTTGCAATTGGGGTCCTGGACACCCGCAGGAAGCCGTGCTTAGTGGCGCTCCTGCACATGATCCATGCGGTCCACTTACCGGTCATGGTATGTACGAACAGTGTCCAGGCCACAGACTCGGAGGTCCATAACCCGGCCACGACCTATAAGGTGTTGGCGTGGCTTGATTGGGCGACTCAGGGGGTGGTAATGTTGTTGCTTGTCGCGCCTGACCCTTTCCTGAGCCTTGCCCCCTTTGAGTCAGGTTCTTTGCCTTTCTCTAAGCCTTTGTTAACTTCAGAGGCTCTGGCTCCTCTTCCTCTTCTTCTTCCTCCTCTGGCACCACCGCCTTCTTCGTTTTTCCTATGGTCTGTGGTGCCGCCATAGTCTTTCTTGCTGCCTTTGCCTCTTTTTCTGCATCGAGTTGGGCCACAGCATCCTCTACCATCTTCTTGAAGTCGCGTCCGTCACTCGTCGTGGCATCCAAGGCTTTCCTCTTCTTCCTAGCCTTTGGCATTTGAAAGATATCTACTTGGTCCAACTCTCCCTCTAACACGCCCTCTTTTATGGCGGCCCAAGTCAGCTTCTTCCCTGGCGCAGCCTTCTTGGTTAGCGCAGAGGCTTCCCAATTCTTAAAGTGCCCAAAAAAGGTTACACACTTCTCTTCTTCAGCCAACCCTGAGACTTTCCTTGCCATTTTTTTGAATGTCGTCGTGAACGCCCCCACCGTGGAGAACTTATCCCGCTGCAATATCTCTAGATCCGTCTTGGTTAACACGTCATCCCCTAACTTGAACCGCCTTTGCATCTCCCCTTTGAATTTGGCCCAATCTCCCCCTGCTCCAACAGCGATTTTCATAATCTTGGGCCGGATTTCCCACCAGATATATCTGGGTAGGACCTTGAACTTATCTGCCTCAGATACCTCGGTTGTAACTTGTTCCAGCAGCTCCAACCACTTAGACACTCTCTCCCCTTCAAACAGGAAGATGTTAACTTTCGACACTTGTAGCCGTGCCAACTTCCATTTCTCAAGGACCTTGACAATGCCTTCCGGCGTAGCGGCCGGGCCCCGCTCAATTTCATCTGCGTCCGGCATCTTTACCTCCCTTGGTTAACCAACCTGTTAGGAAAGAAGGGTAGCCCACCAAACAGCTTGTCAAGTTCAAGGGGAGTCATCCTAGGTCCTATCTATCCGTTCCACCTCTAGGTTCAGCGAATTACTCTACTATTAATTATTCAAAGCCTCAGATACAACCTTAAGCCACACTTCTAATCACTTAGTCTTATTAGTATATCATACTCTTATATATCATACTCTTATATAAGACAATCCAAGTCATAAGTTTTTATCGTTTTGACTAGATCATCAGCCTGCACTTAACCTGCGTTCGTTCTCTTAAGGACCCCGGTAGGCAGCCGAGATCCCCAACAACGGTGCCATCTGTCGAGCGCATCCGTCCCGCACGGGGACCCTCCCAACCACGTCACGCAGGATTTTGCAAGACTTGTCGCAGAGAGCGTTTGCTGCTCCGACCGAGTGCGCCAGCCGTACCTCTTGCGAGCCCCTATGACAGTACAGGGTCACGCGAGGCACCGCTTACCTCCACCTGCGGGAGCTGTCACCATCCCTTAGGTGGGTGTATCCCTGCTGAGCTACTGAACCACATGCGAAAGCTTTTCGTACGCAATTGCAGAGGTGGCCTAGCCGAGGGCGTTTCTCGTTCGCTGTAGCATAGGGGGTTACGCGTGGTCGAACGCCCGAAAATCGAACCCGCACGTGAATCGACGTACTGGGGGGTTGAGGTCCCAAATGCGACTTGGCGCCGGTCGACTAGGACGCATCACACACACCACGCGTTACACCACAACACTCATATCTACCCACACATAACACATGGACACACACAAAACAAACACCACAAACAACACCATAACACAGCAACACTCCTAGTCCCTTCGGTATCCGACCCATAACGTTATGCCGCGAGGATCAGATAGGTACCGCACGTTGGTTTTTCGTATAAGAGTCGTGCGCACGCATGGCCTCCTCATATCGACCAGTCATGCGGGCATTCGCAGGCAGTCGTGCTGATGGGGTACTATGTGGTACTCGTCACCGCGGCCCTAGGTAATCTTGAGGGTCGTGTTTGACACTGAAGGGTCGGCTGACAAGCTCGTTGAGGGGTTACCTTCTCGGCGCTAGACAACCGCCATGCGCGGTTGACGACCACACCCTCTTCTGCACCCTGTGCAGAGGGGTTGAGTAGACAACTTCAAGGTTGTCGTGGTAGCGAACCTCAAGGGGTTTGACTTTGACGGCTACCACGGGCTATAACATCCAACCATGAAAACTTTAAGGAGAAAACAATTGCAGATAGTCTAATAGCCGTTCCAAATGGAAAGGGTAGGCCAACGCGAAAAATGCGTGTGGGTGGTGCCCAAGCTCAGACCCATAGGCAACCAGATGTTCCAAGCGTTGGAGGCTCGTACGCGGGCCCCCATAGGCTGACTAGGACTAATACCCTGCCCATACGTCGTATCGCGCTACCAAAACTTGGGTCTACTGGCCATAACGCGCTTTGCCCTCTCCGCTTGACCCATAACTTTTGAGCGAGGAAATTGGTAAGTGTCGCGCGCGCGGGTTATTATAAAGTCGCGCGGACGCAGAACCTACTCATACCGACCAACAATAAGGATTTGTGTAAGCAATCGTGATGTCGGCGCACTATATAGGGCCCATACCCGAGTGGCCTCTTTTGAGCCCTGGGGTCGCTCTCGACACTCAGGCGTCGGCTGAAGCGCGCGCTAAGGAGGGTAACCCTTTGGCGAGCGCAAAACCGGCCTGAGGGCCTTACCATCTTCTGCACCCTGAGGTGCCCCATAGGGTGCGGGGTAAGATGGTCCCTAGGGCAGGAAGGAATTCGGAGCGGTGGTGAGTTTTCTGGCGCATCACTAGCGACACGCTAGTCCTTCCGCCCGGAACTTTATTGTTCCACCAAAGTAAATTCAAAACAAGAAAAAATAAAAAAGACTACTTGGCGTGGCGAGGGAAAAATACGAGCGCCCCGCCGGACCGAGTTACTGGGGGACAGCCTCTCAGCCTTGCGGCGCTTTAGATTCCCCGGGCCAGCAAGCAAATCAACGTCCTGGACAAGGACCTTGAACTCTAGGCTTAGGACTAACGTCCGACCAGATAGAATCTTTGAGTAGGGGATAACGTAAGCGTGTCGTCGCGTAGCCCTATAAGGGTTACTCGAGCGTACGCTTAATCTGACTATCACATTATCAGGACGGGAAAATACAATCTCACTCAAACAAAAGGTTGTGGGGTAGTTCACTCTCACGACAGTTGTGTGGTTTGCCCATCTGAATCCAATACATAATCACTCAACATGACTCAACCGAGATTCTCCCATACATACCTGCAATCATATACACAGCATTCAAACAACATCACACACACTAAAGTGGTAAACTTTTCAACCTTCTGCAAGTCACACCCTGCCTTAAGCACACAAGCCCAACCATTTCCCCACCAATCCTCAACAAAGGTACTCAGTCTTTTAGAAATGACCATTTATAAAGAAGCTGGGTGAAAACCCAAAGAAATACACAAATCCTTACAAGGGCCAAGGTCTTAGGTTGAGAGGCAGGAGAACTGGGAAAGTTGAGTCGTAAACCGACGAATCGGCAACCGACTTGTTATCAGTGATAACAGAAAAAGTGATCCTTTTGAAGGATCAGGCTGATCAGGTCAAGCCTTCCAACGAGATACGGAAACCTGCATCACAGTACAGGCCAAAGAAAAATACTACTTATGTTTATGCCAAGGGGAGAATACTTCCCCCTTCGTAGCCTCGCTCCTCTACTAATACCAAGCCACTTAACATCTCCTCTATCCAGGATAGGTCTGCTAAGTAGTTCATAGCTGAAAAATAGTTTAACTCATCAAATTCTGCAAAATTTCGGTAGCGCTTCCCGTAGGAAAAGTGCCTTTTCATAAATTCTATGAGTCCAAAAATGACTAACTCTTTCAGATTTGCACAAATTTCGGTAGCGCTTCCCGTAGGAACAGGAGGCTATCAAGATTTATACAAGGCTGAAAGGCAAAAAAACAAAGTAAACTATACTTTGGACTATCCTCTGACACCTGTTTGATGACTCAGAATCAATGATAACCCGCACAACCTCTAGATGAGAGTGTGGCTAACCCTCATCATAACTCCTAGCAGGGTCAATCATATCTTCATCCCAAGTTTTCCCTCCTATTATCCATCTTACCTACCTATGGTTCCAGCACTTGGCGAGTATCTAAAGAGCTAACCTATCAAAAAGACACCCCAAAGTGAGAGTCCACAAGCATGCATAAACAAACATCTCTCACAATCCCACATAAGTTTAACCTCAATAGTTCATTAGATCACTCAGTTCTTTCTCCTTTAGTAACCCCCTTGCGTATGGTATAGGATCAGACAACGCCCTAACTTAAGGGTATGTCCAACCTGCCTAAGTAAACAAGTAACTGTACACACAACTGGACTGGCCTAACTTAAGGGTATGCCCAACACCACATGAACTCTAGTCATAAAACATATGACCAGACCGCCCTAACTTAAGGGTACGCCAGACTTCTGCTTAACTGACGATATGAAGCATAAACTAGACTGCCCTATCTTAAGGGTATACCTAGTCAGCTTTAGACAAGGTTACATAGGGCATAGGATTAGGTTGCCCCAACTTAGGGGTGTGCCTAGCCTGCCTAGAACAAGTACGAACGACGAATGGTCAGACCGCCCTAACTTAAGGGTACGTCCAACCAACGTAACATCAACGACAAGAGCATATCACTAGGTCGCCATAACTTAAGGGTACGCCTAGCTAGCTTAAACAGTTTTAGGTCCATAAGACAATATGACCAGACCGCCCTAACTTAAGGGTACGCTTGATCTGCCTGAACAATCACAAACGACGTATGACTAAGCCGCACTAACTTAAGGGTACGCTTAGCCTCCGTAACAACAATACAAGAGCACAACCATTGATTTACTTGCACATAATTCATATGTTTCTCTCTTATTAGGCAGATGATCAGACCTACCCAACTTAGGGAGACATCCAATCCTGCCTTGTGTTTAGAAAGGAAAATAAAAACAGATTTATACTAACTCTCTTCACCTTTGTATTATTACGAGCATAAGACTAAACCGCCCTAACTTAAGGGTACGCTCAGTCTGCCCGAATTACCTCCATTATATTCTTCACTTACTTTTTTTTTCTTCTTGTTCTACCTGACTTACTGACTGGATTTCCCAACTTAGGGCGCCCGGCCTGCCAGATAATATAAGTTCGTATAATATATCCAAATTTTATACTTTTAGTTAGCCTTTTAGTTCACTGCTTATGACTAAGCCGCCCTAACTTAAGGGTACGCTCAACCTCATGCCTTTGTCCCCCGCACACAGAACTGGGTCTACGCAACTTAGAATATTCTCAGTCCTGCTTCAGCAACCCAAAAGAAACATCAGGATTCTGAGTCCTCTCAACTTAGGGTGCCGATCCTCCTGTTTAAAAACCCCAGAAAGAAACAGCAACTGGTCCGTCCAACTTAGGATAGACCCAACCCTCAAAGATCATATAATCAGTCCAGCAAACATAAATAAAAAACAGCACTGAGCCCACATCAACTTAGAGGAGCTCAACCTTGGGTTGACCCGGTCAAACACATGCATACCACCTTCATCCCACCTTCCCCCAATTCACTTTGCCTAAGTTCACTTAAATGTTTATCTGAACTCTCATATGTACTCGTTCATTTAACCTTTCACAATGCATGTCCTCACATACATAATAATAAAGTAGTATCCTCACATACTCGCATTTAGATACCCAGGGGATAACAGTTAGGGGGAGGGATCACACGCGTCAGACGAGATTATGCCTGAGTATTCCCCGCCTCTAGAACCCTGCCTGAGCTCCGGCAGAGCTCCCGCAATCGGTAGGGCAAACCTCCCACAAAGGCTTTGGCGCGGACCTACGGGTTGCAACCCCGCCTGCCGCCTTCCTCTCGTAGCCTCAGACTAGACTGAGAGTAAGAAAGATAGACGTACAAAGTTCAGACTCTCAAATACAAGAGAGGTGCGCTCAGACTCACGGAAGAGGGCCTTGTTATCTTGATGCGCCTACGGGCCCCGCAAT